ACGGTTACATTTCATTAAAAAAAAGCCCATGTAGTATGTATCATCGCCCCCTCACACTGAGGAGGAAACAGAAGTTAAGTGATTCCCACTTACATCACACAGGGTAGCATTTGATCTTAAACCTAATATTCAGATTCCTGATTCTTTGCTCTTTCCACTGTACACACAGCTGTGAAACAAGTACAACAGTCGCAGTCAACATGTTTTTGGGTACCTTACCCGCTCTGTATCTTCTTTTTTAAAACCTGCCCTCCAACAGCCACTGCTGAAGAGGTTGGCTAGGCAGCCATGTTTATACCCCACGGCACTTCTGGTCACAGCTGATTGGCCCAGGGCTACACACCTGATCTAAGGTCTGCCACTCCATTGGCTGGCCAGAAACCAATCAGATTCAAACATCAAATTTTGAACTCCGAGACCCAGAGGCCATCGTCAGTTAGCCGCAGTTATCTCAACTGAAAAGTCATGCAGAATCTAGTCCTGACAAGCCAACAGCAGAACAGCTGCTGTTATGAGTGAACAGGAAGAGAAGGAAGGCTGGTCTGCAGTTAGGAAATCCCAGCTGGGCTTGAAATCCACATGGCACCCAAGAGAGAGACAGAGACAAGAGTAGCTGCTTTGGCTCATGCTGACTTCCTGATTCCCAGTCCCTGTGAGGCTGGGATGTACTTCCCACCTTTGGGTTCGGTGAGATTTTCCTACATCCTTTCAATAATCTCTTGAGCAAGTTTGAGTGGATTTCTGTCCTCTGCTCACAACTCAATTGGGACCAAAGCATTGACTCTGAGGAGATTGAAGATTCTCAAACTCCCCAAGGCTTAGTTTTCTCACCTGTACAATTTCTCACCTGAATGGACCAGCAGAGCTCAAAATTCCTTGCCAGAAAAATGCTTTGATCTTAGATCCTTATAGCTATGTGCCTCCAAAGAAGTATAAGAACACCCAGTGTTATCATGTCGGTGCCAGGAAAGAAGCAAAGACTCAGAGAAGAAAAGCTGACGCAGGAAAATAAGCATCTGTTGACTCATATCCCCACATCCTCTCCTGGCCCCTAGTCCCGAGAAGAAGTAAACAATCCTGGAAAGTTGGAGGCAGCTTTTTTCAACACAGAAATCAGAGCAACCAGGACCCTGCCATCACCACTCTGCCATAAATTAGACCAGATTATGTCTGCTGGAAGGTGAAGCCAATGCAGTCTTTGAGGCATAAGAATGTCCTACAAAGGCAGCAGCTCACTCACTGCTGGCTATGTCAAGGGTGGAGGGGTTTCTAAGGACAAGACAACAATGGCTGCTGCCTGCCTTGCTGGTTGGCAAAGCTAACAAAGCTGTTGAATCTTTCTGCTAGATTTGTCCCTGGTGATCAACGGAGAAAAAGAGTCCTTTTCTGGCTGGGCCCCAGGTCTACTGCTTGACCAAAAATGCTTTCCCTGAAGCCACTCAGGTCCCACTTTGGTCGTCTTTGACTTCTGTCCACCTATGCTCCCTGGAATAGGCTTGTGCTGGGTACACATCACCCTCTTAAGCTCCTCTTAGCTGTTGCTTGTCTCCAAGTTCAAAGGAACAATTAACAAATTCCCACTACCTATGAGCACTGTGCTGGAAGGTGGGACACAGCGACATCCTTCTGTAATGATGTTCCAGGGAGCCCTGTGGTCATCTCAACCAGCCCCCACCTTTCCCCTCTTTCCAACTCGCAGCATCACCAGCTCAGTCATGATCCCACCAGGGATCAGCCCACTCTCACCCTCCCCCCACGTCCTCTGTAGAGGGGGAGAGATCTCAGCTGTTGGACTCTAGGGAAATGACCTAACCTCTTAGCCTGTTACTTCAGCCACAAAATGGTTCAAGTCCTTCTACTGCCTGGGGTCCTGCCATGATTCCAATAAAGTGATGCCTGTGAAGTGCATGGCCTGACACCTGTTGTTTACTGTTTACTGACTCTGAATTGCTTTCCAGACATACATCGCTCTTTAGACCGATGAGATTACAGAGCGCTGGCACAACCACACCTCCAAATCGCTTGGTGGCTATGGTTCCAGCCAGAGAGCTTTGATGAGCAGGCGGAGCCAGAGATGGCCAGATCCTTTTGTGAACACTCTACTAGAAGGACTTCCAGTCAAGTGAGAAGGGGACACAAGCAGAGTCCTGGCTCCCAGTGGGCAAGGCGAGGCCCTAGAGGGCGGGAATGGTGCTCACTGGGGCTGCTGCCCCAACAATTCAAGTGGAAATGCCTCAATACACCCACCAAGTGCCAAGGTCAAAGACATTACAATTGAGTCTTTGTTCCAGAGTTCAAAAGCCTCACTCACCACTCCTTCCTAAGCCAGCCTGCAGGATGCACAACACACCTCCCCTCCCCCACCATCAGACGTCCAGCTTCCTTGAACTGGGAAACCACCCTCCCAAGGATCTGCAGTGCGGCCCTCTTCCTTTCTCCTCTCCACCCACATAGCTTCTCCGGTTAAGCTGGTCATACACTCCAGGCCTCCCGGTTTCTGACAGCAACAGAGAGCGTAGCTTTGCATGGTGGACATAGCACTCCAAGGTCCCTGTGTAAACATCTTGTGCTGAACAGCTGTCTCCACCAACGGTAAAGATACAAAGTCCCAGAGAAATGGAAAAGCCACGTTCAGGGAGGCTCTCGATACCTGACACCCAGGGCCCTCTAGAGTCTCCCAGCCACTGAGTTCAGACCTGGGAGAGGGCTCAAGGAGCTCATCTGCTCTAGGCCCTGCTTCCAAGCAGCCACCAGATTATCTCCATTTTACAGAAGGGATAACTGAGGCCCAGAGGACTAAGGGACTTGAAGCCACCCAGCCTATAGGTGGTGCGTAGAGCCCTGCTTCCAAGGACAGCAGCTCCCTCAGAGGGTCTGTGTGCCAGACTGGGCTGCTCTGCGGAGTCAGGCTGCCTGAGCCTCTTCAAACAGCCCTTGGGGACTCCTCAGGACAGGAGGTGCCTGCACGTTTTCCAGGCCTAACACAGAACCCCCACTTTGCCAAGGCTCTCCCTCCCCTACTCCTAGGCAGAACTCCAAGTGTTCCCAGTGTCCTGGATGAGGATGGGAAGGCAGAGGACACACACGTCCCTGGCAGTCAGGGAGTTTTATAGCAGGCTGACTTCCTTTTGTGTGGGGTCTCCTTTTCAGCCATCCTAGCCAGCAGCTGGTACCCAGAGACATGGGGCTCACTCCTCCTGCTGTTCCAGGGTTATACAGCTGTGGTGACATAAGACAGGTGAGGCGGCAGGAGGGTCCCTAAGCCAGAACTCTACTTCTGAGCAGCCCTGACCTTATACGGAGAAGTGGGCTTGCCTTTTTTCGGAGCAAGCTCCAAAACAAACATCTCTCTCTCCTCGGTGGCTGCCTCCAATCGCACCACTGGAGATCCCTTCCTTTGGGTCCTGAGGTGCTTAGGGTTTCCAGAGCCAGGCCCCTAGGACAAATGCAGCTCCCCTAGGGGGTGAGGAGGTGGGGCCGGTACTGTGACAAAGGTTGAAGGCAAAGCTGTGCGGGAAGGAGGCCAGCGTGGGTACCTGGGGTGAAGGGCCCAGGTCTTATGCTGGTATGTGGCTCTGCCAGGTGAGGACTGCTGCCGCCAACCACCTTGGCGATAACTCCAGGCACAAGGGCAGAGCCTGCCTCTCTCAGAGTGGAACATGCTGTGAAGACCCCAGACTCAGGAGGGCCATGAGTCAGACCTATGTTGGCATCACAGCCCTGTTTCTCAGAGAGCATAGTTCCTGAGGCTCCTGCAGTAGGAGTCTGAACTCACTTTCCCCAGCAGGCCTACTGGGATTTCTTCAGCATCTCTACAGCTACTTGTTGCCCACAGGCATAGGAATCAGAGGCCCAGGAACATCCCTGTTCTGTTCTGCTTTTGACCGCAGGTGACTCACTTCCACTCAATTTTTCTGTGCCTCAGTTACTCTATCTATAGAATGGGCACAGCCATTCTTTGGTCTGCCTTCCTTTCTGGGCTCAAAATATTGGAAAGGAACAGAGTGGGACAGGAAAGAAGAACAGGCCCCTCCCCTCTGGGAGTGTCCTCTAAACACAGCCCAGAGAGGCTCCTATGCACGGGGCCTTCCCCCGCAGCAAACTGAAACCGAAAGAGAACATCCTAGGAACCAATTCGAGCTCCAGTAAGCTGTGGGCAAACTGCTGATGGATGTCTTGGGCCAGAGTCTGTCCCTGGCCCTGCATCTCAGACTAACGGACTCAGGCCCTCCTCTCTCCACCTGCAGAGACTCCTGCTGCAGATGGCTTGAGGCACTTGGGCCCGCTCCCCGAGAACCCTGGAACCAGCAGCCTCCTGGAGAGCCATCCGCAAGGCCCCAGACAAGACAAAGCCTCAGCTCCCAATGACAGGGCAGCTGCTGAGGACCCTCCCTGGCCCCAGGACCTGGCTTCACTCCCCTGTCTGGGCCCTCTTCCCAGGTCCTGGCAGCCTTCAGCTCAGCAGGGGGCAGTCAGCTCCCCACCCAAACACTAGCCAACCGCCTCAGGCCTGGCCTTTCCTCAGACAATCCGCCAGGGGCCCGAGGACCCCAGACCCCACAGTGATGTCATGGCCTGCCTTCCCTACCAGCTAACCCAGTTCTCCAGCCCCCGCCTGGACCCTGGCTTGGAATATGGCCCCAACATGGGAAGCTGCTGTAGGGCACCCTTAAGCTGGGTGCTACCTTCCCCATGGGCCTCAGAGGGCATGGGGACCCTGAACACAGGCTGGACAGTTACACCCACGCTGCCACCCTGGCCTTGAATTAACACGAGCTGGTTAATTACCGCGCGCTGTGGAGACATTCTTCCACCACCAGGCGAACTGCTGGCCTGCAGCCCAAACCAACAGGGGAAACTTCAGCCTCCTCGGCCCTCTCCCCGCCAGATGGAAATAACGTATAGCTGCAAAGGTGGGGGAGGAGGAAGGGAACAAAAACCAGCCGTTTGAGGAGCCAGGCCGGAACCCTAGTGGCCGGCCAGCCGTCCGGGGCACTCACCGCTTTCGTTCTTCTCAATGACATCCACCACCTCCCCGGCCTGGAGGCTCAGCTCCGAGTTCTCTTGCTTCTTATAGTTGGACACCACCACGTACTGTTCCAGGATCATGGGCTCGGCGTTGGTGTCGGCACCTGGCGAGGGCAGAAAGCACGCGGTGAGCCAGCGGCCAGCCATGGCCCCGCGGCCGGGGCGCCCCCTGTCCATGGGCCTCGGGGGAGGCTGCTCTGTCGCCAGCGCCACTCCCAGGGGCTGCCCGCAGCCAGGGCTCGCAGCTCACTGGGCCCCAAGGACAGGCCATATAGCAAGCCCCCACACCGGCCCGCTGTAGCGCGGGGACCGGGGGACATGGGGAGCCGGGGGACAGAGGAGGGGTGGTGGGGAGTAGAAAGAGACAGAGACGGAGGCCAAGGAAACTGAGAGGAAAAGCCTTCTGCCGTGATGAGTTAGTCCCAGCCCCGCACGAGGGAGTCAGAGGAGAGGCCTGGGGCGGACACGGTCTCTCCAGACCCCTGGGCCGCAGGGGCGCGAGGGGAGGGCCGCGAGCGGGCGGGTGGGCGGCCCATGAGGGCTGAGGCCAGAGCACAGGAGAGAGAGAAAGGCAAGGCCCGAAGGAGGGCTCCTGCCTCCCTCCAGCCCCTGTAAACCCAGAGAAAGAAAGTCAGCAGTCCTCCCCTCGGGAGGGAGAGGGAGAGAGCGGGAGAGAACGTCTCCGCAGCCAGGGCCCAGGCAAGAAGTCAAGAGGGTTTGAGGCCGCCAATCACTGGGGTTTACTCGCAACCCTTAAATAGAAACACATGAGACCCATCGAATGAGGAGCCGGGGGTGGAGGCAGGGGAGGGGGAGGAGGGCTGAGACTGTTTACTTGAAACCCAAGAAGAAAGTCCCAGCACCAGCGGCTCTCGAGCCCAGCCCACCCCCCGCCAACTTTTCCTCAAGTCCGGCTCCGTCCCTGCCCCTCGGGCTCACCCAGGCGCTGCCACCGAGCCCAAGGGCCTGGTGCAGATGGAGCAGCCCTGGGCCCGCTCTCCCAGCCCCGCTTCCAGAGGGAGCATCCTCCAGCGTCGCTGCCGCCCTCTGGCCACAGGGAGACTGACTCAGTCTCCCTCTGCCTTTAAGCTCTGGGGCTCGTGGCCAGGCTCCTGGAAGCCTCCAGCTGCCCTCTCCTGGCAGTTTCATGAAGCTCGAGGGGTCAAAAGGTGGGCTCAGCAGAAGGAGGGCAGGCGGGCAGGAAGCTCCCAAGAGCAAGCAACTTCTCTGTCCTCAGCCACTGAGCCAGGGCAACATCCATTAAGCAAGCATGGGGCTGGGAGGTGGACAGACTGGGCGCCCATCTCAGCTTACTGGCTGTGTGGTATTGGACATGCTGGGTGGAGGTGGGCATAAAACATCTAAGACAATACATGCCCTGCTAGGAGCTGAAAGGATCCAAAAACCAGAGACCTACTGGTCACTTCCTACAGGAAGCCTTCTTAGACTACCTCCAGCCCAAAGAGAATTCCTAGTACACGTAAACTGTGTCTACCCCCCTATACATCTGCCAATCTTCTGGAAGGCTGGGGGCTTCACACAACCACCCTGGCTATAGAAATGGCTGAGAGGGTCCCTAGGCACCACACGGCCCCCTTGGTGCTTCAGCCTGCAGCCACATTCCCTGCATGCCTGGGTCTAACTTGGCAAATGTTCTGTGCCAGGCATGTACACTGTCCCACTTTATTCTCATAACAACCTTCTTACGTCCCAATTTCACAAAAGGCAGCTCAGAGGCCCAGAGAGGGCAAGAGGCTTGCCCCAGCTCACACAGCTGCAATGGAGAAAACCAAATTCACTTGGTGTTTTAGGTCTAAGCCCATCTCTCTTTCCATTAACAGAACTGCCTCTGATTTCTGTTTCCAGACATCCCCTTCTTCTAGCACAATGAACCTCAACTCGGTCTCACAAAATTGCCTGGGGAGCTTTTAAAGAATACTGGTGCCTTGGGGCTGGCCGGTGGCGCAAGTGGTTAAGTGCGCACGCTCCACTGCGGTGGCCCGGGGTTCGCCGGTTCGGATCCCGGGAGCGCACCGACGCACTACTTGGAAAGCCATGCTGTGGCGGCGTCCCATATAAGGTGGAGGAAGATGGGCACGGATGTTAGCCCACAGCCAGTCTTCCTCAGCAAAAAAAGAGGAGGATTGGCAGATGTTAGCACAGGGCTGATCTCCTCACAAAAAAAAAGAATACTGGTGCCTGGGCCCCACCCCTGAGACCCAGATTTAACTGGTCTGGGGTATTTTTTAGACACTGGCTCCTCCCCCGTGGTTCTTAGGTACAGCCAGGGGTGAGAAGCACTGCCTAGATCTTTGGGTCTTTCCATTGGGGGGGCTCTATTCAACCTGGGGCAGGGGGCAAAGGAGGGGAAAGAAATCCCCTGCCCCTGGCAGTTTGCCATGAGGTGTGGGCCCCACAGCCCCAGCTCAGCCCTCTGGAGACCCAGAAGGGACGCTGCCACATGGATACATACAAGCACAGCCCCAGGCAGCCCCTCCAAAGCCAGGATTGTATTTCAGGCAGAAATGCAACCAACAGCTGGGCAGCAGGGCCAGCCCAGCCCTGCACTTGGATGGGGCCAGCTTCTGCGCCTGCTCTGCCAGCCGGACAGAGGCCGCACTGGGCACAGCGCTGACAGAGACTACCTCCTACTGTGCCCCTGGGGGACATCAGTGCCTCTGTGGCCAAGAGCACTTCTTAAGTGCACCCAGCACAAAAAGGGCCAGCCCCTCCCTGTGGGATACAGGGGCTCCCTTTCCAATTTGTGCGAAAGGAAAACTCGATACAAACAGAAGAGAGGGGTTCCCCAGCAGGTTAGAGAGCTTGCAAATCCTGAGAGCACTCAGATTATACCGAAAAGCAACAGCGAGTCCTCGTTAGGGCTCACTCGCGGTCAGCACTGTGCCAAGTGCCCGACCACATCATCCTGCTGTCTCGTTTGATCCTCATGACAACCCTGTGCGGTAGGTCCTGTTATGTACCCATTTTACACACAGGCAGACTGAGACTCATGAGGGTAAGTAATTTTCCTAAGGTCACACGGCTGGGACTGAACCCAAGCCCACCTGACCCTGTTGCTTGTGTTCTGAACTTCTGCACTGTACACGACCTACAGAGAGCCACTTGTCCCCGGTTTCCAAGGAGGGACCCTGCCTCATCCTATCCCCCCGAGACTGAGTGTGGGTTCCTGTTGACTCTTGCTACATCCGTTGACCAGATCACAGTGCCCATTAGGTGGCAGGAACTCAGTGAGTGTTTATGAAATGAATGGACGAAATGAATGAACAGGCAGGCAGACGAACAGAGTGATTTAATGGTTTGTTTGGAGCCAATACAGATAAACCAGGCAGGGCCTCACCTCTGAAATCTGGGAAAACTAGACAACTCAACTCTGGGAGGGAGAAAGGGGAGATGGGGAAACAGATGCACAGAGGAGCAAGGAGCGATGGGTTTGTGGCCAGAAGCTTCTAGAGAGGACAAGTGGGGTGCTGGGAGTGGAGAGACATCCGTTCATTTTGATCTAAGCCAAGGAAATCTGAGGCAAGATTTCAAAGAGGGGAAAAATCCACATACCCCCGCCCCCAGCTCCTTGGAAAATTGGCCTGAGCTTTCTGCAGACTGACACTCTGCGACACAGGTAGAAAAGTTAAGAAAAAGTTCTCCAGGCATTCTAGAGCACAGAAGACAGGTGGCAGCACTTCTTGGAGGCTACTCCAGAGGCTGTGGGACGGGATAGATGGACACACAGACAGACACTGTCCTCCTGGCTCCCCTCCCCTCCCCCAGCACACGCAGGCTCCCAGCTCGCTCTCTCTGGCATCTGCCTCTTAGGGTGTTGCCTGCCTGGGGCTGCCCGGGCGGGCGTGAGCTGGGAGCAGGTATCCAGATGAGAAACCACTCAGCAGGCGGGCCGGTGGGTGATGTCATCCCACAGAGGCTACTCTGGATCCCCTCCCAGCCAAGGCCTGGAAAATTGGGGGCTGAAGGAGTGGGCCCAAGGGAGGGGGAGGGGCAGTGGAGGGAGCCTCCTGTCTTCAGAGGGGAAGGGTTTGGCAGAGGCATGGAGAAGGGGTGTACCTCTTCCAGAGAGCAGAGCCCCTCCCAGGTTGGAAGGGGACTTCATCAGACTCTCATCCAGGGGTGGGCCCTTGTGCCTTACTAGAGCCCCTGGCTGGATCTGCTGGGGCTCCGGCAGCTCCCTGGAGCCCTGCCCCACCCTTGCCTCCCACTGCATCCCTCCAACTACCACCTGGATGGACCCTGATCCTGGCTGCCAGCTTACACTTCTAAACGAGGCTTTTGCCAAGGCAGTCCCCGGCTCCAACACTTTCAATGGGTCCCTGTTGCTTATAGAATAAAGGCGAAAATAGTCTTTCTTGACAATCTGAGCTCCCCAAGTTCCCTGACACACAGCCCCTCTGTTCCAGGCAACATTCATGATTCAACACACGTGTATTGAGCACCCACTATGTGCCAGCCACACTGTTCCATGCAGGTTCTTACTTCCAAGCCTTTGCTTTAGCTGTTCCCCCGGCCTGGAATGCCTTCCCTTCTACCAATCCCAATTCTGCCATCTCTGCCCCTCCAGGAGTCACCTGATCGCTGCAGCCGCAGCGCTTGCTCTGGTCGAGTACTGGATTTTTTATGGGGCCCTGCTTCCCACCTAGACCATGTGCTTTAGACAAGAGTCTCTCTGATGAGAGTAGACACCAGGACTGGCACCAGAGGACAGGGCACTGGACACAATAATTGCCCGAGATTCATGATGCAAAAGCAGAAAATTGGAGTCAGAGAGTCTGAGTGCCCTTACTAGCCCTGTGGCCCTGGGGAGGACACAACCCCTCTGAGCTTTAGCTTCCTCATCTGTAACCAGGAACAACAACAGTACCTACCTCACTGGGTGGTTCTGAGCATGGTATGAGGTGACAGGGTTAATGCCCTATGTAAACTACAGACGGCGTTTATGAAGCAAACAGGAAATGGGAGATTTGGGGAGGAGCAGGGGGCGTTTAGGTTCCTCTGAGCCTCACCACCAGCAGGCGGCTCAGGGCAAGGGCCACAGGCACCAGGAGAAGGGCAGCCGCAGCTGTGTTCCTGCAACGCACCTCTCTCTCTCAGACCCCACCTCCTGGCAGGCAGTGGGCACTTGCCAGCTGGAGAGCCAGATCAGAGACCCCTGGGCCCACCCTGGGGTGGAGACCAGGTTACGCAGCTGAGGACCCTTATCTATAAGGATCTCCAGCGTCAGCCCCTTACCTCTGAGTTTCCTGTCTCATCGAAGTCTCCAGTATTCCAGATGGGGAAACCAAGGCCCAGAGAGAGCTGGCGACTTGCCCAGGTCTCCAGCCCTGGCCCTCCAAGTCTGGCTGGTTTCTCAGTCCCACACCACCTCCCCTCAGCTTTTCACTCCAAACAGCTGGGCTCATCCTGAGAAGCCAAGCCCTGCGGTGGCCCTGGCCCCAGGCTCCCCATGCTCTCCACGACCCTCCCAAACCCTGGGCATCCTACCAAAGTCCCTCTAGTACCTCACAACTGGTTCCTCCCAGGCCTCGGCCTGCCGGCTTCTCCACAGGCCTCGGGCAGCCAGGCTATACGTCTGGTGAATAAAATGTACTGCTGTGGGCCAAGCAGGCTCTGGCTCTCCGGCTTGTGGAGAGGGAAGAGAGGGACAGGAGCCCAGGGACTGGCTCAGGCCCAGGCCCTCGTCACAGGCAACACCAGGATGATCGCAATGAGTCCTGCTGCCTGCTGCCTTCTCTGGCCCCTCTCAGGAGGTCTACGTCCCCTCCCTGCCCACAGCTGTGTGTGGGGGGGCTGAGCCTCAGGCTCTGACCCCTGGGGCTAGCCCAGCCCCCCTCTGACCCCTGACCCCTCTGTCTGGTCCCCCAACCCCTGAGCCTGAACCTCTGCTTGCAAGTTTGGGCTGGGAAAAGGGGGTCAGGGAACACTCTCAGAGATGGAGGACCCTTCCGGAGATCCCGCCCCTCTGCCTGCCACCATCTCCTTCAAGCAGCGGAGAACCCTGCTGGCCAGGTTTTCTGCCATTGTCCAGTAAGACAAAGACAAGCTCCTGACCCCTGGTCTAGCTCTGCCCAGACACAGGCCCAAGTCCCTGAGGCCCCACAGGCCCCATCCCAGGCCAGGCAGCCCAAAGCCTGGAAAGGCCTGAAGCCAGAGGCAGCTCCCAGCCCTGGATCCCTGCGTGGGGGCTGTGATCTCTGTCACAGGGCTCCAGGCCCGGTGTCAGGGACTTCAGCTCTCTGCCTCAGTTTAACTGCCTGATGCGATATTCATCACCTCTGGCGGGCCCATCTCACAGGATGGCCACTTGGGTTAATGCTGAAGATGATGGGAGCCTCATCATCACCTGAGCACTTTCTGTGTGCCAGGCTCCTGTGAGGTGGCACTGCATCCGCTCAGAGAAGTTACGCAACCCGCCCAAAGCGGCATAGCCAGGACGTGGCAGAGTTGGGATTGAAACCCACATACTCCAGGTCCTGAGTGCATTTGCTCACACACTGTGCCACGTGGTCATCACCCATCAAAGGGCTCCAAGGCTGGATCTCAGACCTAAAAAGGGTTAAAAGGAAAGCAGAGGGTACAGCCAGTGGAAGGGCAGGAGAGGGCTGAGGAGACACCCGAATGCTGACAGAGAGCTGCTACACGTCACAGGGAAGCGTGCGGACAGCAGCCGGCGGCACTGGCTCCCACACATGCATGCTTGGGACACACATGTTCCCTCACAGGCACTCACATGCACACAGGCAGTACCTGTCACGTCCTTCTTGGGAGACTCAGTCCAGCTGGAGAGCCACACTTCCGAGTCCCCCGAGAGCAAGCAGCAGCACGAGAGGAGAATCAGAGGAGGAGAGAGAACCGTTAGGCAGGCAGGAGGTCCACCCGGCGAGTGGAGTGGCTGCAGGCGCCGCGTTGGGCCGGCAGCGGAAGGCGGGGGAGGGGAGGGGAGTGATTTCCTGGCCCTGGTCTGGCTGCTGGGCGTGGGCCGGCGTGATTACAGAGGCGCTGGGACACAGCCGGCTGGGACCGGGATAATGAGGTGTCTGGCGAAACGCAGGAATCCTCTGTAGCACAGAGAATCCTACACAATCCTGCCTGGAAGAGGGCCCATGGGTTATCACTATCCTGGAGAAGCCTGGATCTTTCTCTCTGGCCATGTGGGTGGCTAGCCTCATAGGGCCCGGTGGCTCCAAGGATCCTCACAGGCCAGCAGGCTCAGCAGCCTGGACCTGGAACCTCAAACACGAGGGTCGGAGAGCCCAGACCCACCATTGGGCCCGAATGTGTTGTCCAGCCCTCGCCCCCGCCCCACCCCCTGAGGAAGACAGGCCCAGCAGAATAGAAGGAAGCCTCACTTTAGAGAGTCTCACCCCCCAACTCCAGCCCAGAAGGATGGGGACCTTTAGTGACCAAAAGAGATGAGGGCTCTCTTCCAGGCTCAGACAGTCGTGTCTGATCTGGGCCTCAGTTTCCGCATCTATGAAGTGAGGTTAAAAACTGTCCTCCTGCTAAGAGGAAGGAGCGAAGTCAAATCACCTAAAAGAACATACAATTATGAGACGTGATACGGTAACATTATAATGAGGTAGAAAGCTCTTAGGCTCATCAACAGTGGGGACATTTTTAGAGCATCAGTGGGTCAACATGTGAGGAGCACCGACAGTACCCACAGTGTACACTGGCGCATTCACTCCCCATGACGATCCCTTAACTGGGCATGCATTTTTACCCCATTTTACAAGGGAAGATTCTGAGTTCAGACAGGGAAAGTAACTGGCCCAAGTTCCCATGAGCACAGAGCAGCAGAGCCACAAATGGAACCAGGTCTGAGAACATCCCGGCTGGTGCTTTCTCTGCTGCTGCTTGTCGCCTCCAAAGGACCACAGTGCTGGCTGCAGCGGAGACAACGAGAAGGAAACGCTGAGATGTAGGTGTGCGAGGCAAACCCTCGCACTGTGCACCCAGCGCTGGCCAGGAGAGCTGCCTGACCCAATGCCAGATAGCAACAATAATCCTAACAGCAGCAAATGTTTATACAGCATTTACCGTACACTAAGTATCATGCTGAACACTTACATATGGTAACTCATTTGCGTTTCACAATAATCCTATAATGATAAGATACTCCTTCCACTTTGCAGATGGGGAAAATGAACCAGAGAGGTTAAGTAACTTGCCCAAGGTCACACAGCTAGTACAGTGTCCACCTCTTGTGGGGACACAGACCTCAGAGACCTCAGGCAATCAGTTTGACACCGCTCACCATTTGAAGCAGCTAACTCTCCCTCACTCAGCAAGCCACCTTCCAGCTGCAGGTCGGCTTGCCATGTAGGACTGGGAAGCCTGGTCCTTCCAGCTCTCACTGTAAACCAACAGAACAGAGCTCTGGTGGGGAGGTTTAGTGAGGCCTCAAGAGTCTGACTGGATTCAAATCCAAGCTCTATCCCTTTGAGGAAGTTACTTAACCTCTCCAGACCTGTTCCCTCACCTGTAAAAATGGAGATGAACTGATACGCTTACCTTCTAGGTTGCTGTGGGGATTAAATAAGGTAATATGCAATGAGTGCCCCAGTATATAGTCAGTGCTCAATGATAGTTAGCCACCATTGGCAACATTTACCATGAGCTTGGTTCAATCAGCTCTGGGGGCCCCAGGAAAACCACACTCCTAGAGCTGCAAGGAGAGAACCGGACAGTGTTTGATACTGGATGCACCAAGAAAATGCTGGCACCTGGTTAGAAATCCCTCCCCGTACACACCCCCAGACACCACTCCAGCTGAAACTGGGGGCAGAGGGACTCCGGGGGACTGCACCCAGAGACAAATCTGTGGCCAGAGCCTCTCCCTGGGCCTAGCAGCCCGACACCTCCCTGGGCAGCAGGAGTGCTGTGGCCCTGCTTTCCAGCCCTGGTGGGGCTGAGACAAGGTGGATACACCCCGGCCCCTGAGGCTTTAAGCTGGTGTGGCCGAGTGGGTCTGAGTTCAGAATATGAGGCTTCATCGCCTGGTGCCACATCTTTTGGGGGCTATAACTTCCTATCGCTGTACCCCAGATGTGGCGAAGTGGGCTGCCCCTTGGCAAGGCCATCCTAACCCCCCGGGCAGGCCTAGGGCCAGGCCCATCCCAGCCCCATCTGGCCCCACACAGCCCTGTGCTGACCCAGCTATGAGGTTACCCACACCTCTCTCCATCTCTGCTGACTTGGTTACTTTGTACACCTTCCTTTTTGGTTTCTTTTGGGGTTCTTCAGAAGGAGCCTTTTTGGGAAATGCTAAGCTCCTTCAGTGAGCCAAAGGGAATTATTTCACCTGTGCCTGGAGAACCCAAGAAGACTTATTCTGCTAGAACAAGGGTCGGCAAACTTTTTCTATAAAGGGCCATAGAGTCAATATTTAGGCTTTGTGGGCCATGAGGTCTCTGTTGAGACTACTCACCTCTACTGGTGTAGCTCAACAGCAGCCCCCAACAATTGGTAGAAGAATGAGTGGGCAGTGTGCCAATAAAACTTTATTTACAAAACCATGTGGTGGGCCAAACTTGGCCTGTGAGCAGAGGTTTGCCAACCCCTATGCTAGAAGATGAGGGCTATCAGGGAGGGTGAGCTGCTCTTGTCATCAGGGGGAGATGCTCCAAAACCCTAGGAGAGAAAAGTGGGGACCCCCGGCCCACCTACACTAAATGCTCACAAAGTCTTTGCTGCTTGGATGATTTTTTTCAAGAATCATCTTGAAGGCTGTGAGGCCCTTCCAGGACCTTGGGGTTTGGGCATTTGGGCAGGCAGTGGGGAGTGGACAGGAAAAGATCCCTCAGCCTCTGGAAACTGAGCCCCCACCACTGCGCGTGGAACAACCCAAGCTCATGCCGGCCCCCTTCACCCCCCATAAGCAGGTCTTCCCTTCTCTCTCCAAAGGAAAACGGGAAGTGGACCAGAAACGAGCCTGTCTTTTTAAAATAAAAGTCTTTTTAAAGCACGATTTATTTCTCAGGCCCCTGGATCCGCAGAATTAATCCAGTTTCGCTGCTCCCATCCCAAACTCCCCCCTTTGGAGTGCCTTCTCTCCAACCCACCAAGCAAGCCCTCTCCCAGGGTGGGAAGGACCGACCCCTGCCTCTGCCTCATTACAATGAACAGAGGGGAGCCCTGGCTCAGAACCCCGGCCCTCCGGCCAGGAGGCAGACGAGGCTGCTGGCTCAGGGCTGGGAAAACGGAGAGGCAGAGAGACGGGGTGAAGGAGCGAGAGGCAGGCACAGCCAAATGAGCAGCTGTGACCGACACAAACCAACTGCTTCCTGCCCCTCCCTGCTGTCTCTACCTCCCTCTCCTCTGGGGACAGAACTAAGGGCCTTACAGAGCAGGGTCACAGGGCCTGGTGGAAAGCGAAGGGTCCCAGACTAGGAATCTGCACAACTCGTTTTGCTGAGAACTAGCTGTGTGACCTTGGGGAAGTGACTTAACTTCTCTAGGCCTCAATGCTCACATCTGTAAAATTAAGCATTTAGGCCTACTGATCTCCAAGGTACGTGAACTCTTCCAGAAGAAACCTGCTAGTCTCCAAACACAAGTGCACCACAGCTGAAACAAATCTTTCCAGAGAAACAGACTGCCTTTCCAGGGAAAACTACTTGAGTGTGCACTCAGTAAATGGAAACTCAAGTGAAAAAAGCAAACAATTCAGGACGCATAGACGGCAGAGAACTGAGGCAAGAATTTTTTTTAAATCTTGTCTCTTCTGCTTACTCTGCCACTTAGCTCACCGATTCTGGGGCATTTAGCAAATCTCTGAGCCTCTTTTTACTTCTGTAAAATGGGGCTAAAAATACCTACCTTGTCTTTTTCATAGGGTTGGTTTTTTTTGTTTGTTGGTTTTTTAAAGTTTTTTTTTTTTAATTTTTTCCCCAAAGCCCCAGTAGATAGTTGTATGTGATAGCTTCACATCCTTCTAGTTTCTGTATGTGGAACTCGGACTCAGCATGGGTAGAGAAGTGGTGCGTCGGTGCGCGCCCGGGATCCCAACCCCAGCCGCCAGTAGTGAAGCGCGCGTACTTAACCACTAAGCCACGGTGCCGGCCCCTGTTTGTTTTTTTATTTTTTCATTTTTCACTTTTGGTGAGGAAGATTGGCCTTGAGCTAACATCCACGCCCATATTCCTCTACTTTATATGGGACACCGCCACATCATGGCTTGACAAGCAGAGCGTCAGTCCACGCCTGGGATTCGAACCTGCGAACCCCAGGCCGCTGAAGTGGCACGCGTGAACTTAACCACTACACCACCAGGCTGGCCCTATAGGGTTGTTTTAAAAGTGAAATGGCCTAATGCCTGTGGGAGGTTTTGGAGGGGTAGGAATTAGGCCTCTGGGACACAGAAGGGGAGCGGGTAATAGGGACAAAGCTGGTGACTAAAGCAGTGTGTGCCTGGGAGACAGGAGGCAAGGAGACAGGGTCCCTCCCTTGGCCATCCCACAGCACTCACGTCCCTGCCCCGCCATTCCTCCTGGCTTGCAAGAACAGCAAGATTCCAGGCTCAGAGAAAACCAGGTACCTGCAGGTCCTGGCCAAACACTGTGACCTGAGGACACTGAGATGCCGACCCTGATTCTTATCAGGTCCAGGTGATGATGAGAAATCAAAGAACAATACTCCAGCTGCCCCTGCCTTTAAGAAAGTTCCCCCAAACACAAATACACCAAGTACCACAAAAAACACACCTGGATAGACTTACGTTAGGAAAGGGACTCTTATTGGTTCGTAATAAACTCTCTTTTAGCCTTGCATAACTCCAGAGCAGTGAGAAT